AGAAGCTGCGCAGCGTGATTCGGGACGTGGGCGCCCAGAAGTGCGGAGAAGACGGAGTGCCGCGGCCCCTCGGCGGCTTGGATGTCGTGCTGAGCGGCGATTTTTGGCAGCTGGCGCCTCCAGACGGAGGGTTCCTTGCAGACGTGCCGACAGAGCGCATCGCGGAGGCTCGGAAGTATACCTCGCTCCCGCCAGTGCTGCATGGGCAAGCTCTCATGTGGGGGGGTGTCAGGAGGGCGTGCAGAGAATAACGGAGCTAGTGGAGTGCGAGCGCTGCGACGATGCCTGGCTGAAATCCGTGCAAGAGGAGTGCCGCAGAGGAGCCCTTACGGAAAACACGCATGCCTTTTTGCACGGGCGCGATGCTGGTGTTCCGGGGAGTTGGCTGAACGGCCAGGTGGCATGTGGGAGCTCGAGGTGTCGGGCCTTGAGTGACGGCGCAGGGGCGTCGCAGAAGGAAGCCGTCGGAGCACGCCGTCAGCGCTCAGCGACCCAAAAGGACATCCGCAGGCAGGAATGCGGGGAGTGCAGGCGTGAGCGCGAACGGCGCCGTCTCGTCATCGCAGGTCCAGATGACCCGCGCATGCACTCGGCGAAGTTTGGGTGTGCTCCAGGAGTATTCCCGAATAGCGACGTGAAGTATGAGGTGAAGAAACTCCGAGCGTCGCAGTATGCCCGATTGCACGAGAAGCCGATGGTGTACATCCCTGCGCGCGACACCCCCACGCCGGACGCGCTGCGCGAACGGCCGGATTTGCCTCGCCAAAAGATGGCCTGGCTTCAGCGCCACGACAAGGAGAGCGGGGACCTATACGGATTTTTGCCGATCGCGGAGGGAATGCCCGTGGCCCTCACGGATCACATAGATCGCAGCGAGGACAAGTACCTGCTCCGCGGACGCGTGGGAACCGTGTACTCATGGGCGTGCGATGGCGACGAAGGATCGGGTCGCGTGCCCCGTGGAGGGGGGGCCATTTTGCAGAAGACGCCGAAAGTGGTGTTTGTCCTTTTCGACGAGGGTCTCGATGATGCAGGGAACGTGACCCCATGCAAGTGGACGACTCTGGGGCTCCGAACGCCGGGTCTCTACCCAGTGAGCCCGCAGAGAAAATATTGGTTCGTGGACAAGGGCCGGCCGTGTCCGCGTCTGAAAGTGAAGCGGCGGCAGTTTCCCTTGGCCCCAGCGTTTGGAGCCACCGCCCACTCAGCACAGGGCCGGACTTTTAAGCAAGGTGTCATCGTGGATATGAGGATTGGCGGGGGCACGTCGCCGTTGTCGAGTTATGTGGCTCTGACGCGCGTGCGTCGCCGCGAGGATATGTTGATTTTCGGCCTTTCGACCGCGCGCCGTGCACTCAGAAGGAGCGGAAGGGGCCCGGATTACTGTTGCAGTCGTTGCGGGGAGATCCCATGGATTGGGATGCAATCGAGAAGGAGTATACGCCTGCAGGGAAGTGCGCGCTGTGCTTGTCGGTGAAGTACAAGAACCAGTATGCTCTCGGGCAGTGGAGCCGGGATGACGGGCTCCGCGCGTGCAAACTGTGCTTGGAAGGCAAGAAGAGCATTGGCACGCCGTGGCAGTGTGCGGAGTGCTATCTGTGGAAGGGCCAGGATGCTTTCCACGCATCCCAGCACCGCAGCTCGAAGCTGACGTCACGGCGTTGCGTGGACTGTCCCGAGAGGCGAAAGTGTTACGTATGCGAGGTGCGGAAGTACGAGGATGCGTTCGTGGAGGTGCAATGGGAGAAGGCAGGGAACGCCCGATGTAAAGGAGGAGTGTGCCTTGAGTGCGCGAAGCCGAAGTGTCACCTGAAGTGCACGCGCTGCGGCCAGGAGCAGTTGCGGGTCGAATTTTTCAAGGCGGAGCAGTGCAACGACGAACCCACATGCAAGTCGTGTAAGAAGTTGCCGAAAAAAGGCGGAAAAGGCGCGCGCCGAGGCCGCAACATGGATAATATGCTCAAAGTGCGGTGAGACGAAGACCAAGGAATAGTTTTCCGTGCACCAGTTGGACCACGCGGACAGAGCGTCGGCAGCGTGTACCACGTGCGCCAACGTCGAAGCCGCAGAGCGGGTCGCAAAATCTAGGAAGTATGTGAAGACGTGCGTGGGGTGTGGGGAGTGTCAGCGACGGGAGTTCTTTTCGGGCTACATGTGGGGCAACGTGGCTGATGAAGATCGTAAGTGCATGCGTTGCATCGAAGCTGCGGCTGCGGACCGGGACGCGGAAGCGCGAAAGGATGCCAAAGTTTGCGCGGTGCGCGGGGAAGGTCAGCGGCGCGAGTTCTTTTCGGGTCGCATGTGGGCCAACGTGGCTGATCAGGACCGCAAGTGCATGCGTTGCATCGAGGGGGCGAAGGTGCATGCCAAAGTTTGCGCGGTGTGCGGAGAATGTCAGCGGCGCGACGAGTTCTTTTCGGATCGCATGTGGGCCAACGTGGCTGATCAGGACCGCAAGTGCATGCGTTGCATCGTGGTGGCGAAGGTGCATGCCAAAGTTTGCGCGGTGTGCGGAGAATGTCAGCGGCGCGAGTTCTTTTCGGGTCGCATGTGGGCCAACGCGGCTGATCAGGACCGCAAGTGCATGCGTTGCATCGAAGCGGCGAGGGTGCAGCGCGGATGTTGGAAATGCATAGCCTGCAAGGGCGTGTTCCCGAAAGTGGATCACGGCCGCTGTTTGGCCAAGCGGACGACGAACAAATCACATGGAATGCAACGGTGCAACAAGTGCTTCGAACACGAAGAGCGTAAAAGGAAAGAGGTCGCCGATCGGAGTTATCAATCGATGGCCAAGAAAGGCAGGTCGAAGTAGCGATGACGTGGTGGGGGCGCGATAGGGGGCGCGATGAGGGGTGTCGGTCGGTTGTGGACGAGAAATGGTGGGGTGGGGGGTCTCAAGAACAGAGGCTCCATGGGTTGGGGGTGCCGGGGCGTGGTGGGAGCGCGGTGGGGGGTGTCGGTCGGTTTTGGGCGAGAAATGGTGGGGTGGGGGGTCCCCACCACAGGCTCCATGGGTTGGGGGTGCCGGGGCGTGGTGGGAGCGCGTTGGGGTTCATGGTAGGGGGCGTCGGTCGGTTGTGGGCGAGAAATGGTTGGGTGGGGGGGGGCAAGAACAGAGGCTCCATGGGTTGGGGGTGCCGGGGCGTGGTGGGAGCGCGGTGGGGGGAACATGGTGGGGGCGTCGGTGGGTTTAAAGCAAACATAGTAGGGTGGGGGGGTCCAAAAACCCTGGCTCCATGGGGTGGGGGTGCCGGGGCGTGGTGGGAGCGCGGTGGGGGGCATGGTGGGGGGTGTCGGTCGGTTTTGGGCGAGAAATGGTGGGGTGGGGGGGTCCCGAGAACAGAGGCTCCTTGGGGTGGGGGTGCCGGGGCGTGGTGGGAGCGCGGTGGGGGGCATGGTGGGGGGCGTCGGTGGGTTTTGAGCGAGAAATGGCGGGGTGGGGGCGCCCCAAGAACAGAGCCCTCGCTTCGTTTCGTGGCCCCGTTGCAGCCCTTCGTGGCCCTCTCGCTGCCCTCCGCGGCCCCGTTGCAGCCCTTCGTGGCCCCGCTGTCGCCCTTCGTGGCCCCCTCGCTGCCCGTCGTGGCCCCGTTGCAGTCCTTCGTGGCTCCCTCGCTTTGTTTCGGTGCCCCATCTATGTATGCCCTTCGTGGCCCCCGCTCGTTCGCGCCCGTGGTGGCCCCATCTGCATGCCCTTCGTGGCCCCTCTGTGGCCCTTTGTGGCCCCCTCGCTGCCCTTCGGCTGCCCAGTGGCTCCGTCCTTAACGCTCCGCGGCCCAACATACGTATGCCCTTCGTGGCCCCCGCTCGTTCGCGCCCGTTGTGGCCCCATGTGCATGCCCTTCGTGGCCTCTCTGTCGCCGTTTGTGGCCCCCTCATTGTCCTACGTGGCCCAGTTGCTACCCTCAGTGGCCCTGTTGTTGTCTTCTGTGGCCCCGGAATATTTGCCCTTCGTGGCCCACGCTCGTTCGCGCTCTCCGTGGCCCCATACGCATTCCCTTCGTGTCCCCGCTGTCGCCCTTCGTGGCCTACTTCGTGTCCTTCGTGGCTCTGCTGTCGTTCTCTCACGCTCTCGCTTTCGCTCGTCGTCGCCGTCGCCGTCGCCGTCGTTGCCGTCGTCGTCGACGTCGTCGTCGTCGTCGTCGTCGTCGTCGTGGTCGGTCCCCTGTCCGTCCCTCTTGGGGTCGGGTCGACGGTCCGCGGCCGCCCCGCCGATCACCGCTGCCGCTGGCCAGGTCGACGGTCCGCGGCCGCCCCGCCGCTTGCCGGGGCCCCGGCCTGCAGGGAAGAAAGGTATACCCCCCAAAGGGTTCGATCGAAAACGAAAAGGGCGGGTATCGAGGGTTTGGGAAATTCGCGTTATTCGACACTCGAGCAGATAAGGGCGAACAGTCTTAAAATGATTATTGTTGTTGTTTTGCTATATATATATAAATAATATATATATATATATATATATATATATATATAATCATTCCGCGATCACCCCCGGATCTGAGATTGCCTGTTTCGCCGGCGATTCCGTGCCATGTTCGCCGGCGCGGAGTGGGGCTTCCGATCCGTCCTCGGGGCCCCTCTTTCCTTGCTGTCCTCCTTCCCCCTGCCTCATTCCTCCCGCCCTCCTCCTGCTTGCCTTTTCCTTCCCCTTTTCTCGTGCTGCGGTTGGAGCTGCCTCTGGGGCGCCGGCCCTTGCAGTAGCACTTCGTTCCTTCTTTGGCGGTCCTTGCGGTAACACGACGACCATCGTCGGTCGGGAGCGGAAAAGAGAGGGGTGATGACGAGGGGGGGGTGGATTTCATGGCGCGGGCCATGATTTTTTCTCCTCAGATTTCATGGCGCCTCTTCTTAATTCATTACGTCCCAGGCCCCCCCGCTGGGCCGCGCACATGCTGCCGGGCATGATTTGCACCCCCCCCTCTTGGACCCCCCCCTCTTGGCCGTTCCCGAGTCGGAACCGTCGGAGCCTGGCCCCCCTCCAGCACATTGCCCCCGCTCCCCCCCAGGCCGGCCGCGGGCGCTGAGCCGGTGCTCGCCCAGGGGCCCTGGGAGGCGCTGGGCTCCTTCGCGGCCGGGCGGCCGGCCGCAGTGGCGCGCGGTTGGACCGAGGACCGAAGGTTACCAGCCTCGAACTTATCCATATCCCTAAGATTGGCACGCCAAAAGGCGATGACAATCTTAGGGATTCGCCTTCAAAAAACAAGGGACTCCCTAAGATTGACATCGTGATGAGGAGATGCCCAACATAGGGATAGGGACATGTTCCAGGCTGGTAAGAAGGGAGTCGTCAGACGGGGGGGGGACACGGTGAGGCACTTTGTGGGGGCCGTTGAAGACCTTTCTCTTGGGTGTCCGTGGGGGGGGGGGGGGGCTCTGGAGCTCGGGCTGGCGCGGCGGGGTCGCGATTTCCACGGGATCGAGGGCCCACTCGGACAGGATATGCCTGCGCGGTGGCTGGCTCCAGTTGGCTGGGGAGATAGTTCGCCCAGACAGGTCGAGTGAGGAAATCTGCACTGGTTCATTCGACTGAAATTAGTATTCGAGTGCACTTGTGCAGTCCCCAGTTGGTTTCGCTCATCGACGTGGGTCTCGTTGGACACATTCGGTTGATGTTGTGCGTCGACTAGCTGCCCCGCTGGGGTGCACTCCGACGGCGGGACCGTGCGCACGTGGAGTGCACCTGGCAGCTTGCACGAAAGGGCGTTTTGCTGAAGGGGCTTCTGTCCATCCCCGAGGACCATCTCGAATCCTTCGCGGGATCTCGTCGACGCCAAACTTGGGCATGGCCCCGGCCGCCGCCGCTTCGCGAGGATGATCCACGAGTTGACGGTGGTCAGGGTGCACGATGTCCAAGGTCGGCACCGTGTCCGCGTTCAGTCTTGATCATGGGCTTCGAACCTGCAGGGTGGGCCCTTTCCCAACTGCGTGCTTCGGAGCGGATCGCCTACTCGCCTCGTCTTCGTCGTGGTCGGGCTCGACGTTGTCAGGGGGCTCCGATCCGAGAGTCCGCGCGGACCTCCGAAAATTTATGTTCATGCCATGTTTTGTCTCTAGAGCGTTGCTTCGCTCGGGACCTGCTTCCGTTCTGCAGTGCCCCCCACGATATGCCACGAGTTTTTGTGTTACAGGTTCGGGTCGGACGTGGGCCTCCACCACGGGCACGTGCTCCCCCCCGGGGAACAATGACATAAGCATAATTCAGGAGGGAAAGAAACACACAGACACAATTAATCGTCGACTCCCAGGAAAATATGGGAAAATATGGGAATTGGGCGGGAAGACAAAAACCCATAAAAGATTTGAAACTATGGGGAATATTTTTATTTGTGTGCATTTACTTGTGTGTCCCAGGGCCCCTTCACACTGACATAAGCATAACAACTCGGAGATCTGGGCGGGTTTCTCGGATCGGCCTCCCTTGCGCGGGGAGCGCGCCAGGGGGACCACAGCGCCGATCCGAGGCATCCTCGCGCGGAACTCTGAGTTTTTGCGTTTGTGTCGCTGCCTGTTCCCCCAGCGCAGTGCCAGGAGGTACTACGTCCTGTGCGCTCCCTCATGCCGTGGCCACCGCCACCACCCCTCCCGAGGAGACGGAGGGCGGCACCGCTGGAGCCCTTTGCAGCGGCGCGCTGGCGGCGGGCGCGTCGCCCTGGTGCCCCTTTTCTGCAGTGCAATGCATGAAGCCACCGAAAGCTTGTGCAGATGTGTGAAACAATAAGCAACCACAATCCGCTGGCGTTCATCGCGTTCAGGCCCTGGTGCCCCCGCCCTCCTCCCGCCTCCCGCTGCCCGCCTGAGCGCTGCGCAGCCAGGCCAAGGCGCCCTCGCCACGCGCGCGGGCCGGGAGAGTTCGGCGGGAGTTCGTCCAGGCAGGTCGTGCTGCGTCCCCGCGGGGCGCGCAGCACGCGAGCATGTGGCACGTCGGCGGCGGAGGGCGCGTCGCTCTGGTGCTCCCGCTGCCGTTCCTGCTCCTCCTCCTGCTCCTCCTGCTCCTCCTCTCCTTATTCCTCCTCCTCCTCCTGCTCCTCTCAAGTCTTCTGGCCCGAACCCGCGCGGTCCGCTTTGCGTTCGGCCTGCCTGCGATGCACGAGCCGTCGTGGGGCTGCGGGGACGGCCCGCCGCCATCACGGCCCGTGGCTTGAGGGTGGCCGCTGAGGAGGCTGCAGAAGCATTCGCAGACGACGAACACTACGAGGACCCCATGGGGCGAGGCGGCCGCAGCGGCAGCTTGCACAGTGACTGGCGCGACAAAGACCCATGGAAGAAGGAGGTCATTAGTCGTTGGAGGCAGCAGAGCCGCGGGCGCCAGCGGCAGAGCAACCAAGGCCAAGGCAACAGGTACTTGGTGTGCTCAGAATTCCCGTCAGGGAGCAGCTGGGTATAACACGAGCGGGCGGGCACACCAGGTTGGGAGGTGTGCAATGTATTCGGGTACACGTGGCCCGTGTATTCGAAGACCAGCAACCAAACCGAACAGAAAACGCTGCAGACGCTGGGGCTCACCAAGCAAAGCTTGCTGGCGATCCAGCCCGCGGTCTCAGTCTCGCATGGGTCCACGGACATGGCCGCAGCGGACGCGGCGGAGAGCCTGGGCAAGTTCGCCGCCCTGGGGCCAGCTGTGCCCGCGCCAGCGCTTCCCGAATTTGGGGGTCAGGCTCGAGGCGGCAGCGCTGCGCGATCGGCAGGCTCGGCAGCCTCAGGAGAAACGTGCCAATCAGCTAGCACTGGTCGCGCAGCGGAAGAAGGAACTTCTCGACAAACTGGGCGAGGCGGTCGAGGATGTGCGGGAGGCCATGCAGGATTTGGACCGGCTGCAGCAGGAGGTGCGACAGGGGGAGCTGTATCAGGACAAAGCCGGGCCGAAGAAGGGCCGAAGGCGCACGGCAAGAGCATGTGGGAGGACAACCCAGAGCTGTCGCAGGAGGACCTTGAGGTTTTGGATGAGCGCAGCTAGGCGAAGTACGCGCATGCATCTTGAGTCGCTGCCCAGGCAAAGCAGATGCTCGAGGCGTGCATGGACGAGGGCAGCGCGGTGCAGGATATAGCGGCCACTCTTCGCGATGGAGGAGGAGGAGGAGGAGGAGGAGGCGCAGGCCAAGGTCCATGGCCACGAGCGCAGGCGGGGTGCTCAGCCAGTGGGCTCACTGGGCGCTGCAGGAGCTGCCGGACACGCGGTCGGCACCAGAGCGAACGACGAGGAAGACGGCGGCTGCGACATCGCCATCCCAGGCTGGCCCAGGCCAGGAGGAGGCCAGTATTCAGCGGGGCGCGTGGCCAGGTCATGCGCAACCTGGTCGAGCACATCTGTGTGGCTGCCCTTCGTGGCTCCGTTGCAGCCTTTCGTGGCCTCCATCGCTGCCCTTCGTGACCCCGTTGCAGTCCTTCGTGGCCCCCTCGCTGCCCTTCGTGGCTCCGTTCCGCCCCTTCGTGGCCCCCTCGCTGCCCTTCGTGGCCTCGTTGCGGCCCTTCGTGGCCCCCATCGCTGCCCTTCGCGGCCCCGTTGCAGCCCCTCGTGGCCCCCATCGCTGCCCTTTGTGGCTCCGTTGCAGCCCTTCGTGGCCCCCTCGTTGCCCTTCGTGGCCCCGTTGCAGCCCCTCGTGGTCCCCTCACTGCCCTTCGTGGCCCCATATATGTATGCCCGTCGTGGCCCCCGCTCGTTCGCGCTCGTCGTGGCCCCATATGCATGCCCTTCGTGTCCCCGCTGTCGCCCTTTGTGGCCCCCTCGCTGCCCTTCGTTGCCCCGTTGCTGCCCCCAGTGGCCCCGTCCTTGCCCTCCGCGGCCCAATCTACGTATGCCCTTTGTGGCCCCCGCTCGTTCGCGCGCGTCGTGGCCCCATGTGCATGCCCTTCGTGGCCCCATTGTCGCCCTTCGTGGCCCCCTCGCTGTCCTACGTGGCCCAGTTGCTACCCTCAGTGGCCCCGTTGTTGTCTTCTGTGGCCCCGCAGTATCTGCCCTTCGTGGCCCCCGCTCGTTCGCGCTCTTCGTGGCCCCATACGCATTCCCATCGTGTCTTCGCTGTCGCCCTTCGTGGCCTACTTCGTGCCCTTCGTGGCCCTGCTGTCGTTCTCTCTCTCGCTTTCGCTCGTCGTCGTCGTCGTCGACGTCGTCGTCGTCGACGTCGTCGTCGTGCTCGGTCCCCTGTCCGTCCCTCTTGGGGTCGGGTTGCCGCCGATTAGCGCTGCCGTTGGCCAGGCCGACGGTCTGCGGCCGCCCCGCCGCTTGCCGGGGCCAGGCCTGCAGGGAAGAAGGGTATACCCACCAAAAGGGGTACGGTCGAAGACGAAGAGGGCGGGTATCGAAGGTTTGGGGAATACGCATGAAGGGACACTCGAGCAGATAAGAGCGAGCAGTCTTACAATGATTGCTGTTGTTGTTGTTGTTGTTGCTGTTGCTTTTGCTTTTGCTTTTGATGTGGTTGTTGTTGTTGTTGTTGTTGTTGTTGTTGTTGTTGTTGTTGTTGCTGTGGTTGTTGTTGTTGCTGCTGCTGTTGTTGTTGTTGTTGTTGTTGTTGAATATTATTACTTCTAAAGAATAATTATTGTTGGGCCCCCTGGTGCACGCCCCCCTCGCCGCGCCTAGGCCGCAGCCACATTTTCATCATTTTCGTGAGGAAGTCTCAAGCAAAACGGGGGAGTCCGGATCCGGTTGTTTTGTTGACGCCCGCTTTCCCTGTCAAAAAACAATATAAAATGACATGTCTTGTTCTAACATAACCAAACTTCAAGAATCCTTTTTGCAAAAAATGACACGAAGTGCACACTCGCGCGCGCAAGATGAAATCCTTCCAAAACCTTAGTTTTCGTAGCGATTTTAACATAAAAACATGAAAAACCCAATGGTTTTTCAAAAAAAAAGTTTCAAAAATTCATCCCGCGCGCTCTTGCGGATTTCTTAGGAAACCCAATACTTTTTCAACATTTCTGTCAAACGGGCTCTTGCGAGCAACTTTTTCACGTGCTTCGAACTTCTGCAACAACGGTTGCGCGCCTGCCAGGGCCATCATCCCTGTCAAATAATACCATATGGGACACATTCGTTTTTTCTTCGCGCGCGCACGCCGAAATCTTCAATTGCAGGGGGAAAAGTCGTATACTAAGCTAGCTTACAGAAAATGTTACCACAACAAGTCATTGTACCCATGCGCCAGTGTAGTAGCCAAGGTCGTCCGCAGGCCACGAAGTGAGGTGTCCGAACGTCATAGGGCGGGAAGCTGGGTGTGGGTGGTGGCGAAGAGTCGTTTGGAAATGTGGTAGAGCTTGAACCGGCCCCCCCACAAAGTGGGGGTATTGCCCGCCTCCTATGAAAACCCTGGCACTGGTGAGAACGGAGTGTCCCCACGTGCTAGTAATTGTTGTTGTTGTTGTTGTTGTTGTTGTTGTTGTTGTTGTTGTTGTTGTTAATGCTAATGTTAATGTTAATGTTAATGTTAATGTTAAGGTTGTTGTTGCTGTTGCTGTTGCTGTTGCTGTTGCTGTTGCTGTTGCTGTTGCTGTTGCTGTTGCTGTTGCTGTTGCTGTTGCTGTTGCTGTTGCTGTTGCTGTTGCTGTTGCTGTTGCTGTTGCTGTCGTTGTCGTTGTCGTTGTCGTTGTCGTTGTCGTTGTCGTTGTCGTTGTCGTTGTGGTTGTGGTTGTGGTTGTGGTTGTTGTTGCTGTTGTTGTTGTTGCTGTTGTTGCTGTTGCTACTGCTGCTGCTGCTGCTGTTGTTGTTGTTGTTGTTGTTGCTGTTGCTGTTGTTGTGTTTCAGTGCCCTTTTTTACTGTTGGTTTCGTTTGTTTTTGTTCAAACAATCCGCGGCCCCAGATGCCTGGTCCGCTTGCCCAGGTTTAGACGTTTGTCCCCAGTCCATGGGGCCAGGCCAGGATCGAAACAACATGCGGGATCGAACGCATCATTGATAACCATCAGGGATCAGGACTCGTATACCGGTATATTCAGGAGAGGAAAACACACAGACACAATTAATCCTCGATTTCCCAGACAATATGGGAAAATATGGGAAGTGGGGGGGAAGACAGAAACCCAGAAAATACGGGAACATATGGGGAATCTTTTTATTTGTGTGTATTTATTTGTGTGTCCTGGGACCCCTTCATATATGCGCGTGCGCCGATCCTGGGCCTCCGGCTGGGCCCAGGCAGGACCGGCCGGTGCCGGCGTGCCCCTCCTCGGCGCCCCCCGCCAGGTGCAGGGGCTGCTGCAAGAGGTCCGTAGCCCAAGATGGGTCAGGAGGGAACAAAAACACACAGACACAATTAATCGTCGATCCCCCAGAAAATCTGGGAAAATATGGGAAGCGGGGGGGAAGACAGAAACCCAGAAAATATGGGAAAATGTGGGGATCCTCTTATTTGTGTGTATTTATTTGTGTGTTGCAGGGCCCCTTCAGTAGTGTCCCCAGCGCTGCGCTTCATCTCTTGGAGCTCTGTCACCAGCCTCGAACTTATCCCTATCCCTAAGATTGACACGCTGAAAGGAGATGAGAATCTTAGGGATGCACCCTCAGAAACGGAGGAACTCCCTGAGATCGCCATCGCGATGAGGCGATGCCCAACATATGGATAGGGATACGTTCCAGGCTGGTAACTCTGGGTCTCGTGCGGGGCTCTCTGGAGGCCCTGGGTGCCTCCTCGGAAGTCCTGGGGGCACCGGGGTCAGGAGCGACTGCAGGGCGCGCGCGCGTACGGGAGCCCGCGCCGTTGTCGAACACGCGCACTTTCGCGGAGGTGCGTACCGCGAGGCGGGCCTCGCGGAGAGGGGGCCGCGTTCGTGTGCGTGGTGCGGCGCGTGCGTCTCTGTGGGTTCCCTGGTTTCAGCGGCGGGCCCAGGGGGGAGAGAATAGGAGGCCTTCGCAGATGGCTCGGACGCTCCAGGGTCTTCTCAGAAGCCTGCGCAGCGCTCCCCGAAGACACAGACATCTTTCTCGGAAGGTCAGAGGGCTTCCGAGAAGTCTCGCCGCCTCTTCCTCCTCCTCCCTCCCTCCTCCCTCCATCCCTCCCTCCTCCTCCTCCTCCTCCTCCTCCTCCTCCTCCTCCTCCTCCTCCTCCTCCTCCTCCTCCTCCTCCCTCCTCCCTCCTCCCTCCTCCCTCCTCCCTCCTCCCTCCTCCCTCCTCCCTCTACGAGAGGGTGGCGCACTGTTTCTGGGCCGCTTGCGGCGACCATCTGCACCCTTCTGGACCTCGAGTGGATTCCCACCTCGCCTACATCTTGGGGTTCGCCGGTGGGCATTTTCAATTTGGCAGATAGGGACTTCCTGTTCCACCTCACAGCTGCCGTGCGGCAGACAGTTTCCCGAATGCACTCTAGCAAGGCAGCTCAGCACTTTTGTGGGGAAGGCTTGGATGGGGGAGCTGATTTTACCGTGTTCTGGAGTGCATTGTCTCAGGGGGTACTTGGCCCGAGGCTCGACTTCAGGATGCCGGGTACCTCACAGACGGCATGTGCCCGCGGTGTGGGGTTGCTCGCGAAACAAGCCTTCACCGGTGTTGGTCGTGCTCGGCCAATGCTCAGATCGATTCAGACCATATCCATCGATCCCAGGATCTTGCTGCGATGGCGGATCGTCCTGAGCACGTTCGCAGTGCTTTCTGGAACCGTGGGCTTCCTCCTCTTGCTGCAGCTGTCGCACCTCTGCCGCCACCCCGCGATGTTCGTCAGTCCTAGGGCCTCTTCGATGGTGGCCGGAGGGTCCGTGGAGGCAGATTCGGACTGGACGGCTCTGGGGGTAAGTGGGCTCTGGATTGGAGGCTTCGACCGTGTGGCTGGGCGGTGGTTAGGTTGGATGAGGCTAGTGTTCATGCGCCTGAGTTTCGGTGCGACGCCATTCTCTTGGGTACCCTTCCTACTGAGTCCCAGTCTAGCCCCCGATCGGAACTCTATGCCCTGATCATGCTCCTTACCCACACTGATGGTGATGTAGTGGCTTACTCAGATTACCTGCCCCTGGTTAGGAGCCTCAGGAGGGATAGGTCCTACGTTGCCCAGAACTCGCCCATGTTGGACTTGTGGATCCAGATCTGGGACCTCTTGGACGCTCGTGAAGGTCTCTTGGAGCTCTTGTGGACCAAGGTTCATTCTACGGAGGCTGCTCGTGAGGCTTGGGGCATTTCGAGCACCGATTTTTTTCTTAACTATTGTGCTGACTTTTTCGCTGGGAAGGCCGCCGCCTTAGGAGAAATTCCCCAGGAGCATGTGGATGTGCTTCAGGAGGTCGACGCTATGACTGGTAAGGTCTTGCGGCGCCTTCTTGATGTCAATCGTAAGGTCGCCTTGACCTGCAAACGCCTCGTGGCTGACAGGGTCGGGCGTCCCCCTCCTCGCCCCAAGGCGTTGCCCTCCTACGCCACTCGTAAGTAACGTCTCGAGGCGGCCGGGCATTCTGTCAAGATGGTTGGCACCAGACTTAAGTGCTGTCTGTGTCGTCGCAATTTCGAGGCGACTCGAGGCAAGGTCTCCGAATTGTTCCCTGGGCGGTGCTTGGGGGCGCGACAGATAAGACCCTTGGAAGGGCGTGAAGCTGTAATCGCGCACCCTGGTTTCCCTCGGGCCCATTCGTCTCACGACCTTGTTGTGTATCGTGGTGTCCTGTACTGTCGAGTTTGCGGGAGATTTATGACTCAGAACTCCGGGCTCCTCGCCGAGGGCTGTCCACCAAGTGGCAAACCCACAAAAGCAGGCGCCGAGGTGTTGTCGCGCCTCCGACGCGGCCTACCGCCTAAGAGTGGGCTGTCCTTTCCTGATCGGTGACTGAAGTGAATGTTTGTGTGGTGTTGGAAGCGCCCTGGCTTGACCAGGTCTCCGCCGAGTGCCCAACCAACCATCCTCCCTCCTCCCTCCTCCTCCTCCTCACTTCCCCCCCTCGTTCCTCCTCCTCCTCCCCCCGCCGTTTCTGAGAAGGACTTCTCCTCACTTCCCCCCCCCTTCGCTCGCCGCCAGTGCCTTCGCCAGGGCCACTTCTGGCCACGCCGGACAGGTGCGGGAGCTGCGTCCGGGAGGGCCCCCCGCGTCGTCCCGGGGCCATGCCGCACGGCCCCGTGGCCCGAACGCTTTGGTCCTTTGTGGGCCCCGGAAACGGCAAAAAAAACGGCGACCGGAAACGACAAACGAAACGGCTCCAGGATTGGAACCGGAGCCGGAACTGGTCAAACAACGGCGACGGAACCGGTGAAGAAACAGCCCTGTCGTTTCCAGGGCCCACTAATTTCTGGCAGCCTTGGGGCCGTGGCCGGGGAGAAGACGGCCCGCACAGTAGCAAGCAGCACAGTCTGCCAGGCTACAGTCGGGGCGCTGAAGAAGGAACCCTTTCTGTTGGGGAGGGGCTCAGTGTTCCTTAGCTGTTCTGCGGCTGGCCTCAGGTATTCCTCGGACCTTCGAGGGGGCATCGAAGCTCAACTCGTGGAAAAAAAGGGGCCTCGTTCCTTATTTTGGGTTCCTTAGGTCAAGACCCTCACTGTACCCAGAGATCCGATGTCGTGATTTTTTCAATGCGCGGTCCCTGGAAGCCTCGATCCATTCCCCAGGACCGGTTTTTCATCCTGAGTCGTTTTTTTGACGGCCCCGAGGCCCGGCGAGGGCCCCTAGGGGCCGGAATTTGCGAACATTTTCCGTCTTGATTTTTTCAAGACGTTGGATCTCTGGGTATGACCACCAGTCTGCCCGCTCTCATGCCATGTCTCACCAAGGGTGTCGGGCTCTGGCTGCTGGAGCAGGGGCGGTGCTCGCGCTCGGCGGGCGCCGCCGCAGTGCAGGCAGCGTGGGCCTCTTCCGGCCAGCGCCGAGGCCGTCCGCCGACCAAGCAGGCATAAACAAACAGCAGCCACGCGCACAAGGGGGTGGGGGGAGGGGGGGGGGCTCCTTAGAAGCACCCCTGCTTCTTAGAAGGCGCGGGCCTTCTCTATAGACGTAAGGCTGGCGCCTTCTAAGAAGCAGCCTCCTTCTAAGAAGCCCTCCCCCCTCCCCCCACCCCCTTGTGCGCGCCGCCAAAAACAGCACGGGGTGCCCGAACTCTGGGCAGAACGATCGATCGGCCATGAGTCGGGGAAACGCAAGACCCGAGTAAGCCGGAGCTCGGGCTTGCCGGCGCCTGTTTGGCGAGCGCGTCCTGGATTTTGACGGTCCAGTTCTCGTGGGATGTCTGCAGCGGGAGCTCGCGTCAAATTTCAGATTGGGCATCGTCATTTTTATGTAGGCCCCGTCGGGCCAACCCGAGTCCCCCGTACCCGAGTCTTACGTCTCCCCGAATGAAAAGCTGAAGAGGCCTCCAAGGTTTCGCCAGGGGCTGCGTCTTATCCCCGGTGGCCGAAGACCTCGTGGCAAAGCATCGGGCAACCCTCAAGGAAGGGGCCCGGGAGGCTTCTCGGAGGGTCATCGCTTGGGTCGTCTGAGCGGAGGGCAAACCAGTCCCTAGCGAGCCCTGGGCTTTCGAACTCCAGAGGCCCCCGCCGACGATGCCGACGCGTCGCCGTCGTCGCCGATGCATCGCCGACGTATTGGCGAGGCTTCGGCGTGGCGGCGCGATGCTCCGACCCCATCTGCTCGGACCCCATCTGTCGGCCACGCGCAGAAGGGGTGAGGGAAGGGGGGAAGGTTAGAAGCACCCCTGGTGCTTCGAAGGCGCGCAGGCCGTACCTGCAGATGTAGGGGCGGCGCCTTCTGAGAAGCAGCCTCCTTCTGAGAAGACTTCTGCCTCCCCCCCCCCCCCCTGCACCCCTGGTGCGCGCCACTAAATTTGGGAGCCCTCCAAGATGAGCGAGGACGAGCCTTCTGAGAAGCAGCCTCCTTGTGAGAAGCCTTCCCCCCTCCCCCTACCCTCGTGTGTGCGCCGCCAAGTTTCGGAGGCCCTTCGATAAGCGAGGACGAGCCTTCTGAGAAGCAGCCTCCTTTCAAGAAGCCTTCCCCCCTCCCCCTAATTACCCGCCTGTGTGCGTTGCCAAATTTCGGAGGCCCTTCCCACCACCTCCACCTTCCATTCCTTCTGTCCTCCGCGGAAGGTGCGGAGGAATTCATCGAAACTCATGGAAACCTTACGCCATTCAAGGGAGCCCACGCCGATCATAGCTCGCTCAAGGGGCGGAAGGTTAGGGCGGAAGGTCCGGAAGCATGGGGGGGAGGGCCGATGAGCGAGGACGAGCTCTCTAGAGGCCCCCGCCATGATGGGCCTGTTTTCCATCACCACCATCATCAGTTGGAGGGGAGGGGGTCCTCCTCCTCCTCCTCCTCATCCTCATCCTCTCCCTCCTCAGCCTCGTCCTCCTCCTCGTCCTCCCCCCTTCCTCCACCTCCTTCCTCCTCCCATTTATGGTGGTGGTGGTGGAAAACAGGCCTATCACGCCAGGTACGCGAGCTTCGTCCTGGAGGGCGGCGACGCGCGGGCGCTGGTGGCCGCGCTCTGCCCCGACCCCCCCGGCGGCACGGCCGCCGCGGAGGCGCTCGGGGCGGCGGGCCGGCCCACGGGCGTGGCCTGGGCCTTCTTCGGGAGCAACCCGGGCGGCGGCCCGCTGCTTGGGAAGTCGCGGGCGAAGAGCTGATGCTCAGAGGAGGACAAGGTACCCATATCTCTACCCTTTCCCCGTTTTTCCCCTTTTTGGGCCTCCCGGGAGGCCCTCGTCGCCACCGCTGGATTCGCCTCGAAATTCTAGTCAGAACGCACCCCGGGAGAGGTCAGGGGAGTAGCGGTATCGGTACCTTTTTGGTCTCCCCAGATCCGCAGTATATACCAGACCACCCCAACCCGATCCGTTTGTCCCCAGTGAGCGTTTTTTGTTTGTTTGTTATTTTTCCCATGGTAACGCTCGTTACCCAGGCCAAACTCCCCTCCCCCCCCAGGTATCGCTAACGATGGTACATACGGTATTGGGCGGCACACAGGCTGTTTATGCGCCGGTGGCGGGGACGCACCGTAGCGGGTGCACGCCCCTCCCCCGTGGGGGTTACTTTTATGACTATGTGACGTGCGCTGCTTTCTCACGCCGCGGCTGTTCTGTTCGTTGTTGTTCCCTCTTATTGTTATTGTTTGCCCCTTTTCTTGTTCTTATCATGTTACTGGGTGTTCTCTCTCTCTCTCCCCTCCTCTCCTCTCCCTTCCTCTCTCTCTCCTCCTCCCTCTCCTCCTCCTTCAGTCTCTCTCCTCCCTCTCTTGACTCTCTCTCTCTCTCCTCCTCGTCTCCTCTCCTCCCATTCTATGTACCCCGCCCCGCCACAAAAGGAATCTATATGTAAATCCGCTTCTCCCGTGTCCACCTCCGCCTCCTATTCTTCCTCCTCATCATCTTTCTCCTCCTACTCCACACAAGGAATCCATGTGGAGGCCCCTCCACATACGGGATCGATATGTGAAGGGCCTTCCACATAAGGAATCAATGTGTGCAGGCTCCTTCACATGAGGAACTCATCTATGAATGCCCCTCCCACATAAGGATTCAACATGTTGGAGGCCCCTCCACACAAGATATCAATATGGAGACACTTTGCACATAAGGAATCAACATGCGGCGGTTCCTCCACACAGCTCCTCAACATTTCGAATCTATATTCGAAGGCCCATCCACATAAGAAATCCATGTGGAGACCCCTTTGACCTAAGATATGAATATGTGGAAGTCCTTCCACAGACGAAGTCAACATGTGGAGGTCCCTTCCACATAAGGAATCAATATGTGGAGGATTCCCCCCCACGAGAGGAATCAATATGCGCGAGGCCCCTTGCACATAAGGAAAAAATATGGAGGAGGCCCCTCCAAAAAAGGAAACAGTATCATCTTTCTCCTCCTCATCTTTCTCCCCCTACTCCTTCTGCTCCTTCTTATCCTCGACCCCTGCGCCAGAGCGGGAGGAGGAGGGGGAGGAGCAGGAGGAGGAGGAGGAAACGGAAATCGCCCGCCGCAAAAGAACTCAATTGGTGGAAGCCCCTCCACAGACGGAATCAACATGTGGAGGCCCCTCAACTTAAGGAATCGATAATTTGAATGCCCATCCACATAAGGAATCAATATGTGCAGACCCCTTCCAACATAAGGAATCAACAAGTGGGAGGACCCTCCACAAAAGAAATCAATATGGAGACCCCTTGCACATAGGGAATCAATAGGTTGAGGTCCCTCCACAGACGGAATCGACATGTGGAGGTCCCTTCCACATAAGGAATCAATATTTGGAGGATCCCCCACAAAAGGAAACAAAATCATCTTTCTCCTCATCTTTCTCCTCCTACTCCTTCTGATCCTTCTTCTCCTCAACCCCTGCGCTGGAGTGAGAGAAGCAGGGGGAGGAGGAGCAGAAGGAGGAGAAGGAAACCCAGATCGCCCGCCACAGAACGAATCAATGTGTGGAGGTCCCTCCACAGACGGAATCAATATGTGCAGGCCCCTCCACATAAGGAATCGATATTAAAAGGCCCAATCGCAAGGAATCCATATGTGCAGGCCCTTTCACATAAGGAATGAACAAGTTGGAGGCCCCTCCACATAAAACATCAATATGGAGATCTTTGCACATAAGGAATCAACATGTGGAGGTCCCTCCACAGGCGGAATCAACATGTGGAGATTCCTTCAACATAAGGAAACAATATGTGGAGGATCCCCCACAAGAGGAATCAGGCCCTTTCCACATAAGGAATCAACAAGTGGGAGGACCCTCCACACAAGATATCATTATGGAGGCCCCTTGCACATATGGAATCATCATGTGGAGGTCCCTCCACAAACGGAATCAACATGTGGAGGCCCCTCAACTTAAGGAATCTGTCAGAGCTTTTCCCATAATGCAGTACTTGTGGCGAGCTGTAGGACTCGTGTAGTATAGCAGTACAGGCATCGTAGATAACATGTGAGGGGTAGAGAAACCCAGTTCCTATCGAGACGCGTTTTCTCTTCTCATAGCATGTGAGGGGTAGAGAAACCCAGTTCCTATCGAGACGCGTTTTCCCATCTCATAGAGAAGCAATACAGTACAGAAGTAACAATCCCATGAAGTGGGATAGCATGTTTCTCGGAGTTGTGAGCGAGAGTCTTCCGTAGCCTTATGCTCGAGCCCTGCTAGAAAAACATATCAATCATAGTAGCGTGAGCGATCGCCTTCCATACCTTTGAGTATACAATCTGACTGCAGGTTCCCGCGCGATGGAGCTTTCAGCAGAGCAGCAGCGGTTGGTGATGGACATGATCAACCGCCAGGTGGAGGAGAGAGCCGCCGCGGACAGGCAGGCGGCGACGGCCATGATCGAACAGGAACGTGCCAGGTTCAACGAGCAGCTGCAGGCATCGACCCAGCAGAACAACCAGATGGCCGAGCAGCTCCGTGCCCTGGAGCAGGCGCGGCAGCAACAGCAAGCGGCGTTCCAGGCATTGCAGGCGCAGCAGCAGCCACAGCAGCAAGGACCGGGACGCCAGGCCGACTTCCCCAACTCTGCAGACGACAAGCTTGTGGACATCAAGTTCGGTAAGCTTGGCCAGTTCACGAACAAGGATGAGGATTTCGAGGAGTGGAGTTTCAAGCTGACGTCGGGCATCAGCTCGCTCAGCGAGGAGGCGTGCCATCTGATGGATTCCATCGAGGACGACCCAGAGACCGACGTGACCAACGATCCAGACATTGCCCGGTACGGCTTGGAGACGTTGTCAAAGAAATTATACTTCGCGTTGGTGATGCTCGCGAAGGCGACTGCAGCTAAGATCGTCAAGAAGGTCTCGTCCAAGAACGGTTTCGAGGCCTACCTGCAACTCGTGAAACGGTGCGGCCCCCGTGGTGGAGGCAAGACCGTGGCGCTGATGGGCCAGATCCTGGACTACACGTTCGGTGAGCCTAAGGACTTCCTCGACAACTGGGTTTCGTGGGAGGCGCTGATAGACCAGTGGGAGACGGAAGCAGAGGAAAAGCTTGCGGACAGCGTTAAGTGCTCTACGCTCATCCTGAAGTCCCCGAAGATCTTGAAGGACCATCTTTTGCTTACCACCAAGAAGGAAAAGGATTACGGCAAGCTCCGAGCGAAGGTCGAGGACTACATGCACAACGTGGTCAACGCCAAACCAAAGAAGAAGGGCGAGGACCAAGATGCCATGGACGTCGGCTACACCTACGGCAAAGACCCCAAAGGCGGTAAGTACCAAGGTGGCAAAGGCAAAGGAAAAGACGGTAAGTCGAAATCGTCCGACGGCAAAGGCAAGGACGGCAAGTCGAAGTCGACGGGCAGTAAGGGTAAGGATGGCAAGTCGAAGGCTTCTGGAGGTAAAGGCAAGGGGACATCGTGGTACGACTCGTCCTGGCAGAGGGGCAGTACGTGGTCATGGAAGGATCGGAGCGGCTGGAACGATCGCTCCGTCAACAACACTTGGACTTCCTCGAGCGGCTCCTGGCAGGAGTCGCAGCCGGCCGATGCGGGTAACAGGAAGACGACCAACAAGGACGGCACTGTTACCCACATCTACGAGGACGAGGACGAGTGGATCATGGGCGTCGAAGAGATCTCGGGCGAGGATTTCGTGCTTTCCACTGCGGCCACGAAGAGCGAGGTCCGCAAGTACGACTACGGCAACATCGGGGATGCAGTTGATGTGCTTTCTGATTCAGGCAGCAGCGCGACTTGCTGCAACCCGCGAGACTTCCCCAAGTCTCCGATCATCCAAGGCGAAGAGAAAATCTACAGAATTTCGAAGGGCACCGTCCTCAAGTTCTACGGCTACAAGGATGTGGTGCTGCGTAAGGACAGCACCAACATCAAGGTTAAGTTCACAGTTCTCGACGTCGTGAGGCCGATCCTCAGCGTCTCCGACTCGGCTAAGAAGCACGACATCTCCACGCATTACGAGCAGGGCAACAACTACATGGAGAGAAGGACATCTACTGGTGTTCGAAGGCTTGGGCTGATGGCGCGAGCAGGCCTCTTCTTCCTGCAGGCCATGGTCACAGCTGGCAGCAGCGTGCGTTTTGGGAAGTCCCCAGTGCACCACGTCTACAACAACGAGAGCGCCACGGAGCTCGACTTGGGCCCCGAGTCAGCCGAGGTGCAGGTGCCGCGCCCCGCGGAAGCGGCGCCGGTGGTTCCAGCTCCGGCAGAACCGACCCAGCAGGAGCGGGATCATCACATAGCCCTGAACCACGCGCAGTTCAAGTCCTGGTGCAAGTTCTGCGTTTCTGGGCGCGGGCGAGAGAACGCCCATCACAAGGCAGATGAGATCGACCATAACATTGCGAGAGTTCAGGTCGACTACTTCTTCATGCGTCGGGTGAAGGCGGGGCAGATGCTGACGTGTCTGTCCGCAGTGGACTCAGTGTATCGGCGGAGGCGAGCCGCTGTCTTGGACGCGAAGGGCAGCACCGACAAGTACGCGGTGCGCATTCTGAAGTATTTCGGGGACCAGCTCGGTTACGAGAAGATCATTTGGAGGACCGATCCAGAAAATTCGGCTGCCGACCTGATCAGGGCGGCCTGCCACGGTCGTGACGGGTGGACGTGCGAGTCTAGCCCCAAGGAGAGCAAGGGCAGCCTCGGCCTTGTCGAGCGCACCCACCAGGACGTCGAAGGTCTGACGAGGACCATACTTCTGGACGTCGAGAGCAGGTACGGAGTTGAGCTACCGGCCGAGTTCCCTCTCATCGAGTGGCTTGTTCGGCATACTGCATGGCTCATGGACAGGTTCTGGATCGCCCCTGGCGCTGGAGTCGCGCCGTTCGAGCTCCAGTATGAAAGACAATATCACAGGCCAATGGTTCCATTCGCAGAGACAGTCATGTGGAAGGAGCCTGGGCCTCACACGCTCAAGTTGCGCGAGAAGTTCGGCCAGGGCATTTGGGTTGGCAGGGGCGAGGCCACCAACTGCCATCTGATTCTCACGAGGCAGGGGGCCTTCGAGGCTCGTACCATCCGACGCCTGCCACCGAGCGAACGTCACGATGTTCAATTGCTGTTGGCATCGATGGGGAGTCCCCAGCAGGATTCGACCGCCCGACGAAGGAGCCAGGCCACTACCCGTTGCAGAGGTTCTGGGCCAGCCAGCAGCTCCACCAGCACCCGCAGCACCGGGTCCAGCTCAGCCAGGTCAACGTGGGCAAGCAGTACGTCCAATTCAGCCAGCAGTCGTTATCCCACCAAGTGGGATAGATCACCCCGGAGAGCCGGCAGAGGACGCGGCCATGGAAGAGCCGCGACAAGGGGCCAAGGCGGAAAGAGACATCGAGGACGGCAATCCACTCGAGCCACCGCCAAAGAAAACTAGAGGCAGACCAGTTACCCGTGTACTGCCACTGCCGACGAGCAAGGAGTTCACCCCTGGCTGCTCGGGATGTCTCGGCGCATCTTACAAGCATAGCAAGTTCTGCAAGGAGAGGAACAAGGAGTTCTTCGAGCACATGGAGATCGATTAGCTGGCAACGAAGGTCCAGCGCGACGAGGAGAGAGAGCTGCTCCGGAGCATCGAACGAGCAGAGAAGGCATCGAAGGTTCAGCAAGGAGCCAGTGCAGCAGCGCCAAGCTCCGGTTCGCGGCCAAGTTCATCAACAGACCCGCCGCAGCCGCCATCGGGCGACGCGGACGCCATGGACGCAAGTCACATCTACAACTTGGAGGTGAATGGGATTTTTGACACAATCCGTCACCCCGACGACTTCACGAAGGATTTCATCCAAGAGGTTTTTACCAAGTATCACGCCGTGTGCCACGTCAACGAGGAGGAGCATTTCATGAAGGACCTGCTGGGCGACCCGAACGAGGTCGATTTCGGCGACCACTTGGACTATGACGAGGACGACGGCGAGGCTTTGGATCCAGGCCAGGTCAAAGAGGGCATCCAGAGAGAGCTCGACATGATGCGCGACCTGGACGTCGGCGAACCCGTCAGGTGCGACGAGATAGCCACAGGTACGAAGATATGGACTACGCGCTGGTGCCACCGCAAGAAGGCTGGTGGAGTTCGAGCACGACTAGTCGTTCGCCAGTACAAGTGGATCGCAGGCAAGTCCGACGACAACTTCGCCCCTACGCCCGGCATCGAGGGCATCCGACTTCTCATAGCCGTCGGGTTAGTCGAGGGCGCTGATTTCATCACTGGTGATTTCTCTGTCGCTTTCATGCACACCGAGTTGGACGAGGAGATCTACGTCTGGCCACCGCCGGAGATGGGTTTGCCATCCGGGACTGTCTTGCGCTTGACGAAGGCGCTCAACGGACTTCAAAAGGCCAGCAAATTGTTCAGCGAGAAGGTGCAGCGCATATTGAAGGAGGAGCTGGGATTTCGAGCAACACGGGCAAACCCAGTCATCCTGTACAACGAGCGAAGCAGCGTCAAGGTGGCAATCCACGCGGACGACCCCCTGGGCATCGGCCAGGAGAAGCAGGTGCTCTCCCTCTTCGACGAGTTAGGGAAGCGCTTGAAGTTCAGAGTCGGCGTCAAGTTTGGACCAGAGGTTCCATGTGTTTTCTTGGGATGCTCGTATCTACGCTTTGGAGATACCGTCGTCGAGATGCCGAAGAATAACTACTTCGAGAACACCCTGAAGGCAATGGGCATGGAGAAGTGCGTCAAGGTCACCACACCAGGGTCCAAGGAGTGGTTCAGCACGAAGGCCTTGGACAGCCAGGACGTCACGCCCTTGGATAGAGAGGAGCATCACAAGTTCCGACAGGGCGCGGGGAAATTACAGTATGGAGTTGACAAGAGGTTCGACTACAGCTATGAGTTGAAGCTTTGCGGACGCCGTCTCCGCGCACCTCGAGCAGTGGACATGTCACGGCTCAAGCGCATACTGAGGTACGTCAAGGGTACTCTGGATTACGTCATCACGTTAAGCATCAAGGGCACGAGCGACCTCAAGCGACTCGTCGGCACCAGTGACTCAGACTGGGCTGGCGACCCTGAGTCGCGGAAGAGCTCCAGCGTGGGCACGGTATCATGGGGAGGTTGTCTTCTCTCCCATTTCTCTCGTACACAGGAGGTCGGAGCCGTGTCATCCCCGACGGCAGAGTTCCACGCATCATGCTCACTCGCAGGATACATGTTGTACATCTCATCCATCCTCGAGGACCTCGGGCACCCCGTCGACAACGTCATCGAGACCGACAGCAGCGGTGGAAAGTCCATCGCGCTACGCCGTGGACTTGGAAGAGTTCGCCACTTGGACGTTCGTGCTCTGTGGCTTCAACAACTGGTAGCCGCACGCGCAGTCCAAATCCTAAAGATCCCAGGTGCCGAGAATCGGGCAGACGTCGGCACGAAGCTGCTGGGCGCGAGGACCTTAAGGCGCCACCTTCAAAGTCTGGGCATGCGCCGGTTCGTCAATGGCGAGCTCCTGGACATAGAGGACGGCGACACCGACGGCGAGAACGAGGTTGACTTGGTGGGAAAGGACGTTAACCACATTTCATTGAGCAAAGCAATGACGTGTTCAATATCTGGAAGCAAGCGTTTCATCCCGTGTATGCTGCTTGTTTCAAACATGGCAGGCGCTAAGGGCGCCGACCCAACATCAATGAGCCCAATCATTACGACCAACTTCGACAGCTTCTACGCATTTGTCATGTTCACGTTCCTGGCAGGTGTGTGCGTGGGGCTGTTGACGTCGAAGAGCGTGGCGTGCATTCGTGGATGCAAGAGGCCGATGCAGGTGGGCCATGTGAGCTCAACCCAAGGTCCGTCACCACACTCCGCTACAGATGCTACGCCGGACAAGCAGGGTTACATCGACCCTCCAGCCTCGGTCTACCGGAGGCCGAAGAGGGCAGCTACGAAGATCGTTACGGAGGACCTCAAGCAATGCGTCTACATCACGTCGGAATACAGCCAGGTGTACCACACGAGGGGCACATGCCGCTCTATCAAAAATCTCAACACTCTGCGGCATCTTCGAATTTGCGAGTTCTGTCACCACGACGACTGAGGGGAATTGCTTTTTGTATCTTAGAACGGCAGATCGATTTCTACATTTCGTATTTCAATGAACCGTTGCATTTTCACCGACAGCGGTGGAACCTCCGCAGTAATGAAGATTCCGATTTCCTTGGCCGCGAAGGCGGGGTGTCAGAGCTTTTCCCATAATGCAGTACTTGTGGCGAGCTGTAGGACTCGTGTAGTATAGCAGTACAGGCATCGTAGATAACATGTGAGGGGTAGAGAAACCCAGTTCCTATCGAGACGCGTTTTCCCATCTCATAGCATGTGAGGGGTAGAGAAACCCAGTTCCTATCGAGACGCGTTTTCCCATCTCATAGAGAAGCAATACAGTACAGAAGTAACAATCCCATGAAGTGGGATAGCATGTTTCTCGGAGTTGTGAGCGAGAGTCTTCCGTAGCCTTATGCTCGAGCCCTGCTAGAAAAACGTATCAATCATAATCGATAGTTTGAATGCCCATCCACATAAGGAATCAATATGTGCAGACCCCTTCCAACATAAGGAATCAACAAGTGGGAGGACCTTCCACAAAAGAAATCAATATGGAGACCCCTTTGCGCATAGGGAATCAATATGTGGAGGTCCTTCCACGGACGGAATCGCCATGTGGAGGTCCCTTCCACATATGGAATCAATATTTGGAGGATCCCCCACAGAAGGAAACAATATCATCTTTCTCCTCCTCATCTTTCTCCTCCTACTCCTTCTGCTCCTTTTTCTCCTCAACCCCTGCGCCGCAGTGAGAGAAGCAGGGGGAGGAGGAGCAGAAGGAGGAAAAGGAAAAGGAGATCGCCCGCCACAGAACGAATCAATGTGTGGAGGTCCCTCCACAGACGGAATCAATATGTGGAGGCCCCTCCGCATAAGGAATCGATATTTAAAGGCCCCTCCACATAAGGAGTCGATATTTAAAGGCCCATCCACAAGGAATCCATATGTGCAGGCCCTTTCATATAAGGGATCATTATGTGCAGGCCCTTTCACATAAGGAATGAACAAGTTGGAGGCCCCTCCACATAAAAATCAATATGGAGATCCTTGCACATAAGGAATCAACATGTGGAGGTCCCTCCACAGACGGAATCAACATGTGGAGATTCCTTCAACATAGGGAAACAATATGTGGAGGATCCCCCACAAGAGGAATCAGGCCCTTTCCACATAAGGATTCAACGAGTGGGAGGCCCCTCCACACAAGATATCATTATGGAGGCCCCTTGCACATATGGAATCATTATGTGGAGGTCCCTCCACAAATGGAGTCAATATGTGGAGGCTCCTACACATAAGGAGTCGATGTTTGAAGGCCCTTCAATACAAGGAATCAATGGGTGCACGCCCCTTCACATAAACAGATAATATGTGAAGGCCCCTTCCACATAAAGAATCTACAAATGGGAGGACCCTCCACAAAAGAAATCAATATGGAGACCCCTTGCACATAGGGAATCAATATGTGGAGGTCCCTCCACAAACGGAATCAACATGTGGAGGTCCCGTCCACAGAAGGAATCAATATTTGGAGGATCCCCCACAAAAGGAAACATCATCTTTCTCTTCATTTTTCTCCTACTCCTTCTGCTCCTTCTTCTCCTCAACCCCTGCGCCGGAGTGGGAGAAGGAGGGGGAGGATGAGCAGGAGGAGGAGGAGGAGGAGGAAAGGAGATCGCCCGCCACAGAACGAATCGATCTGTGAAGGTCCCTCCACAGACGGAATCAATATGTGGAAGCCCCTCCACATAAGGAGTCGATATTTGAAGGCACATCCACATAAGGAGTCGGTTCCCCTATTGTCTCGTGTCCTCTTGGTTCCCCTATTGTCTGGGGCCTGAGTGAGCGGGAGGGCCTCCCAGGAGTGCGATTGCCGAAACCTTAAAAAAAAATGGAAACGCGTCTTGGAGCCACGAAACCTGTTACACTACCCAAAAAACAAAAAAACAAACAAATACCAAAAAGACCAGTGACACTACCCCCAAAAAAAAATCAAAGGTTTTCGGACCTCGCATTCCTGGCGGGCCCTCCTGGAGTCCTGAGCCGGAATGGACAGGGGCCGAAAACCTTTGATTTTTTGTGTTTTCCAATGACAGTCACAGGTTTCCTTATCGAAGGGCTACGAAACCTGTGACACTACCCAGAAAACAACAAAAACAAAAAAATAATAACAAAAAAAATAAGTTTTCGGACCTCGCACTCCTGGCGGGCCCTCCTGGGGTCCGGAGCCGGAATGGGCAGAGGCCGAAAATTGTTGATTTTTTGTGTTTTCCAATGACAGTCACAGGTTTCCTTATCGAAGGGCTACGAAACCTGTGACACTACCCAGAAAACAACAAAAACAAAAAAATAATAACAAAAAAAATAAGTTTTCGGACCTCGCACTCCTGGCGGGCCCTCCTGGGGTCCGGAGCCGGAATGGGCAGAGGCCGAAAATTGTTGATTTTTTGTGTTTTCCAATGACAGTCACAGGTTTCCTTATCGAAG